AATCGGCAGGGGGTTGTATATCGATTGTAATCTAGGGGATTACTATCGATATATAGCACCTTTTAAATTTTGCTGATATAGATATAGACATACATTAGACATGGACATTTTATGTCCATGGACAAACAAAGGTTATGTCCAAGATAATATCTATATTCAAGAAATATAAATGCTTTGTAATTTATCAAAGCAAAAATCATTTAATTATGGTAATCTAGATCGTGTAAACCAAAATTAAAACTATACCTTAACTTACTTATTGTATAACTCATACATATGATACTGCGGTTTCAATGATAATTATATGATATAATCTCTATTTGAGAAACCTTTGATATAAAAAAAGCTAATACGTAGAAGTTAAGTGGAAACGAGTTTGTAATAAATCTATAAACTCTCAAAAAGTTTAGTAAAGTTTTATTATATATCTGATTATTTTCTTATCAATAGTTATTTGTACTAAAATTGCTCTTTACAAAGCAAGATACTGTAAATAATAAAAAACTTACTCTCTTGCGAACAAAAGGTCTTGGATTATTATTCTCCGCTCAGAGTAGGCAAATTAAAATAAAATGATTAATATAAAGCTTTAGCACATCCAAAGAATCATTAAATGCTTTTATTTTATAAAATAGTATTGATATTTTATTGATAATTACTATGCAGTCAATAATAGTTAGTTAAGTGAAAAAGATAAACTAATATATATTAATTTATTGTAATTATCAAAATTACACAATGAAAAAAAGTAAGTAAGATAAAGTTTATTAATTAAACTTTAATGTTTACTGTATACTTAATAGATTTGAATCGTGTAATTCTGATTTAAAACAAATCTCATCTAAAACCCCCATAATATATATAAATGTTAGAATTTTAAAATTTTAGAAAATTGTATAGATATATTGAATATATCTAATTTAAAAACATTTTGATTTTCAAAAGACAAGGATTTTAATATTCCTTTTGTGAACCAAATTTACGAATTCTAAATAATTGATATAAAATTTAAATAATGTGATATTTTATCATATAAATACTTCATATACTAATAGTTTATTTTTCTAGAACATAACTTATCAACACCATTGGCAAAAAATAAAAAATGTGTTGAATGGCACTATTCGAATGCCATTCGACATGCTATTCGACTTATCATATGTCTTCGCAGATATAAATATTTGTGAAGTCATGTGATAAGTTGAGTAGCATATTGAATAGCACGTTGAATAGTATTCAAATAGTGCTATTCAATACTAAATTTTTTATTTTTTACTAGTGCATGATTAATTATATTTTTAGTAAAAAGTATAAATATTATTTTACTTACATTTTGCTTAATCATTATTAGAAATTTAAATCAAAATTTTATTCAATTTTAATCTCTTGAAAAGAGTAGCCAATTCCTACTTCGTATTAGTATCAACTGTGAGATGTATATTATCATTGATGAAATGTTCCTCTTTATCCATATACTTATCATAAATATCCTCATTTTCAAAGTACTGCTTTTTATCTTCTAACATGTCCAACTATTCTTGTAAATAACTATCAAAATATTTACAGATTTATTATCTGATTCTTCATCTGAAGATTCATTTTCAACATCTTTTGCAGGTTCATTTTTAATATCCTTCACAGGTTCATTTTCAACATCTTTTGCTAGTTTATTTACTTTAACATTCTTTGGAGGCTCATTTATTTTTAATAAACTTGAATCATTTATACTATCTAAAGAAAAAGTTTCAAGATTAGTTGGTTCTGTTTCTATAAATATACTAGACTTATTGCATAAATCTGCTTTATTCTCTGTTAAATTAGTTTAAATTTGATGACTATATGTAATATCCGTATGCAATTTGCTTATTTGTAAAGCCTTGGGAAACTAAATTAATTTAATAAAATATTATTTTTAAAATAGATTGATTTTAAAGACTTTATATAGACTTACTACTAAACTATTATGATGATTTGTTTGAAGAAATTCTATGCAACTTCAAAACCGTTCTACTGCAGCTACATTTACACATATTTCAAAAATACAACTTGCAACTAAGCCTAATTCTTCTGTTGATGCACTTGCAAAGCACCAATAATCATAGATATTGTCTGAAAATTGATTTCATGTGTCTGTGTCAAAGAGATATTTTTTTAAGTGAAAGTCATCAAATTCTTTTAAAATTCATTTGATTCTTTTCTAGACCATGCATAATAATAATAAACTAGCTATAAACCAAAGTTAGTATAGTTAATATTTATATTAAACTTTTTTATATAATAACCAGGATGTAAAAGACAAGAAAGAATTAATATTAGTTGTTCCCAGTCACGTCATCGACATTCCAAACGCAATACAATTTGAGTACTAAGCTATAAATTATCATAATTTTTCTAAAATTGAATAAGATAAGCCAAACTTAAAATAACTTGATGTAGTCGAGCTTTGTCTGATTGCAATTTGTTTAAAATAATACAATAAAGTTGAAGAATATTAAGCAGATAGTGAAAGTTGGTCCAAAAATTTGCTAAACTTATAGTTTCGTATATTTCACATTTTAATTTTGGCTCCATTCCAGTATGATAAGATGTTTCTATGATAGGTAGTTCAAATTTAATAGCAAGAATTTAATAAAATAATAAAATAGCTTTTTATATTTGAATATTAATTTTATTAATAAAAAAATAACAAAATATTATATTGAATTACTTGTAATACTTTTTGTGATCTTAGAAGACTTAAACAAATATGATAATAACTATTCTATCTTGTTTTTCCAGGAGCATTAATCATGAAATATTTTTTATATTGAGCAAATTGCTCATCTTTTAACTTTGCTAAAAAAATTTATGATTTGGATTTCTAAAATAAGTAGCAAAACGGACCACCTGATCTATAGTTTTTTTAAAATCAATAGATTCTTTAAAGATTTTACCAACACACAAATTTATTTGATATGTGTAACAAGGTAAAAATATAATTGATCTGTTTATAATTCTCAATCGACATCTATAAAAAAAAAGCTAATTAAATATTAATTGATGATTCTCCAGTGAACTGATTAATTATCTTAGTATAACGCAACACGGTTCTATATATAAATCTCTTAAGACAAAAAATGTGGTGTTTGCACAAGAAAAACTTTTTTCTTACTAAG